CCATTCTCACGGCCATCCTAACAGTGAAATGTGGGAATTACATAATAGTATAGTTTGACTCTTGCTAGAAAGCAGTAATCAGAAGCTGGACTGCATTTCTGTTTCCTTTTATTTCTGTTGCTCCCCATTGCGCATGTTAAGACATTGTGGAACTGAATGCCGAGACAACCTTTAAGCCAAAACATGTGCGAGCATCAATTATGTCCTTGCTCAGAAGGTGTATGCTGCTAGATTCCGGCAGATCACATCACTATGTCCCTAGCTACACTTTCTCAAAGGCTTGGTTAAGGTTGCATTTTGTTAGGAAATGTTGTGACTTGAAGAAAATAAATAAAAATTTAAGCACCAGTATTTTATTTAATTGGATGCTTTTTACAAAAATTCGGAGGATGTAATGGACTCTTCATTCATTGAATAAAATCGTATTTATTCTTAATTACTTGTGGGTTGTTTTACTTGGCTTTGTTCCCAGGTTTAGCAATCTTTGTTCTGCGATGCAGTCAGCCAGATGTCACCACAAAACCAAATGCGCTCTACCACTGGGCCTTTGATGGTGCTGGGAATCCAACCCAAGCCCTTGAGCGTGCAAAGCACACACTCTTGATCCACATCCCCGCTGGTCCTTTATTGGAATTCTTGTGAGAGAGGCTAGGCAGGGCCAGATTGACTAATGTAATTTTGGTTCTAAACTACCAGATGGTCCCTAGTTCCAGGGGGCTGTCTAAGGGATTAAGGCAGATCAATAATACCAAATAAAGGTCTGGCTCTGGATTGCCACATCAGTGTATCAAACTTCCTGTTACATCTTTTGCTTTCTCCAATGATTACCTAGCCCGAGAAGCGCAGTCTCTCCCCAGTCAGAAAAAACATATTACAATGTTAGAACACCATAATAGAGCTAGACAGAGCGGTAGACACCTATAATCCTAGCACACTGGGAGGATGAGGCAAGCCTAGCCTGGGAAATTTAGCACTCTGTCTCAAAATAAAAATAAAGAAAGACTGGCATGTAGTTCAACACGAAGGTCCTGGGGTCAATCCACAGTACCGATAAATAAATACTTTAGAAATAAAACATCATAATACATGGAAAATACAAAAATATAAACAATATACTTAGGCAATATGTGGGATGGGTATGCTTTTGCTGCCTGGTAGTTTGGGGTTGTTTTGGTTTTTGGCTTTTGGTTTTTGTTTTTAGATAAGGTCTTGGGTCTTACTATGTTCCCCAGGCTGGTCTGGAACTCCGCGGCTCACATGGTCCTCGCACCTCTGCCTACTAAGTAACTGGGAATACCACATTGGGTCTGGCTCCCAGAGGCAGGGGTTTTGTTGTGTTTTTGTTATTTCTTAGGTTTTGTTTTGTTTTGTTTTGTTTTTCAGATTGGACATTTTAGGATACATTACTAATTTGAATTAACAATCCCAAATCCTTTGTCAATTCAGAAAAATACTTCTTAAAGTTTGTACCCTCTAGTATATTCCAAAAAAAGAACCAAGCTTCCCAGTACTCTGGTAGGCTGAATCAGAAGGATTCCAAGTTTGAGCCCAGCCTGGGCACTTTAGTAGGACTCGGTCTTAAAATAAAAATTACAATAAGAAAAAAAAAGCGGGGGGTGGGGACTGGAAATGGATCTGAGTGTGAAGGTCTTGGGTTCAATACCCAGTACTGAAAAGAAAAAAAGAGAAAAAGAAAGAAAAGTGAGATGTAAGGGAATACATTAACGCATGACAAGCTATGTCATCATATATTCATGTTCAAGCTATGCCATATATTTCTGATCTCATAAGGACTTTGAAAACTTCACCAGACACAAAAACAGGAATCTTTAGCTGTGCGTGGCGGTACGTATCCATAATCCTAGACTTGGGAGTCTGAGGGGAGGATTGCTGTGAACTCCAGGCCAGTCTGTACTACACTGCGAGACGCAGTCTCAAAAAAAGACAGAAAGGAAAGAGGGATCTTCAGTGATGCCCATGCAGAAAACCACCTCCAGCCAAATTCAGCCCAAAAATAGCACTTTGCTTTTTCTATAATGTGACAAATTTTGAGTGAATTGAGCTTTAATGATTGAATCCTGCAGCCCTACTAACACAACCCAAATATATACCAACAAGTTCATGTCTAGAACAAACTTTAGAGCTTCATTAGTAGAAAGGTCACCTCGTTATTTGAAAAGCTGGCTGCACAGGGAGCCAGGCTTGGTGATGTATGCCTACAACCCCAGCACTCTGGGAGGCTGAAATGGGGGATCACAAGTTCGAGGCTATCCTGGGCAATTTAGCAACATAGCAAGACATTATCCCAAAATCTAACAATTTTTAAAAGGGGAGCTGGAGATCTAGGTCCATATGGAGGCCTGGGTTCCATCCCCTAGTGCCATAAAAAGAAAAGAAAAGAAAAAAAGGAATAGGGAGAGTGACACAGAGAGGGAAAGAAGAAAGAAGGAAAGCAAAGAAAGGAACATAGCCTATTGAGTCTTTAAGATTTACAAATGCAAAGGCTAGGCAGTCAACAAACCAGTTCCGAGTAATGAGGTGAAAGGTGTCATAGTAAGTATTGTTTAATTAAGTGGGTTTGCAAAGTTGGCAGCCAATTAGAATCATCTGGGGGAACATTTACATATCTGGAGTTCCTGGCTCAGCTCTGAATGATGGCCTCAGCTCTGAATGGTGGCCTCAGCTTTGGGTGCTTCATGAAGACCTCCCAGGAGTGGTGCCTTTGAGCAGTGTGGATTTAAGACTGGTTTAGGCGGCTTTTCCCATCTTGGTATATGGTTCTTCAACACTTGTGACTTTGGAGTCTAGAACCTTGTCCTTCAGCTGGCATAGAGGGAGAGCCCACATTTAACAATGGGGTTAACTGCAATCTGCCGGGCAGGTCTCCCTTATAACTGACTGCCCTCTCTCAGGACCTGTCACTGGTGTCTGCTTTACTACACTGTGAAGGACTCAGTCATACCATGAGACACAAAAGCAGTGAGTGCATCTGTTCTTTCTGGCTGCCTAGCCAAGGACAAGGATGACATGCCAAGTCTAGGTCCAAGCAGATGCTTGATAATATCTGTTGGTTTGTTGAGAAAAGGGAGCCCGGGTACAAGAACAGCATAAAATACTACAAATTTTGGGTCACTTGATAATGTAAACTAATAACGTAAAATAATGAGGCTCTTCAAGTAATTTCACACTTGCTTTTTCTGAGCTCCTAGTTCATGCATCACAACGCATGGACATTTTAAGGAGTTTTATCAAACACTGAATTTAATCATTTACTTCTTCCTCAATGTCTTCCCAAGGAAAGGAAAGTAGCACATTGACTGGAAAGCTTAGGAATTTGATAAGAACTAAGCTACTTCTAGAAATTTCCAAAAGGCAGAAACAAGCAGTTAAAGTCTATTTAAGAGACAAATTTTCACTCTTTTGTGGAAGTGTGATCAGAAGAGAGTATGAGATTCGAACCCCATCCCTGTAATTAAACTATTTTATTTCATTAAGAAAGTGCTGTTATAATTATAGCCAAAAAAGACATTTATTGAGTGGATTTCCCGTGCCGCAAGGTCCTGTACAAAAGCCATAGGGAGACAACAAAAAAATGCAATCTCCTTTCACACATATTTATAGTCCAGAGAGGAAGATGTGACACCCTGCCTGAAAAATCACTAAAAGATCTTCTCTGAGAAAGGTACACTTCTTAGCATTAATTTTATTCATTCCCAAACTCTACATGCAAAGGTTTGAGGGGGTGCTAGACTAGGCTCCCTCTGTAGTTCAGTCTCACCATGTAGCCCAGCATGTCCTCAAACTCATCTAGATCTTTCTGCCTTAGCACTCCACCTTTAACCCGAGAACACTGGGACTACTGTGAATCCCACCATGCCCAGCCATGTGGGGACTTTTTGTTTTTTCAAATCCATTTTATTTCAAAGAGGAAAAAAAAATTTTCAAAACACCACACTCAGGGGATAACAATGGTAAATACATTGCACATTGCCATCCCCAAATCAGTCACCCAAGAGTGCAAGACATCATGCAGGAATTTTTTTTAATGAAGCTTTTTAGGGGGCCTTAAAAAAGTAAACTAATGTGTTCAAATAGTAAGGGTACTGCCTAGAATCTTGCCATCGACTGCAGTGTACAGTGCAGAGTGAAATGTGTCTGGCTCCATGTTCCTCAAGAGTGGCTTCTGGAGCTGTGTCGCATCCTCTCAGGGTTGCTGGAGTCAAAAGGCAAATATTTTACTTTTTCATCTACAGTAAAGAAGCAAAGTCTTGAGCCCTCCGATTTAACAGACACACATATGATTTTGAAAGTTTAAGGTAGTTTCCTATGTTACAAGCTAAGTGAATTTTGATAATTAGGTATTATAAGCAGGTAATTTTGATAGAGACCCTCTGTAGATAAACTGCAAGTGTATATGACACTATGCTTTGTATCCATAAAAAAGAATTTGGAAGATGCTGTTGTAACAAGTTCCAAATGCACAGAGAAGTTATTAAAGCCCTGCTTTTCCTATTTATGAGCAAGACATTCTCTACATGCATCCAGTATTCACGTTACTGACGGGTTTATTTGTGTAAGAGTTAAGCAAATTTATAAAAGTAATTCAAAACCAAACCACAGTGATAATTTGTTCCTGTTTTGATTAGCCATGGTGGTAGTGACTTCATTGCATTGTTTTTATGGATTAAAAGGAAATCACATTCACAAACCATTATTTCTCTGTGTCCATTATAGATATGAGTGTACATATACATGTGTATCTGTATTACCTACATGATTGCTGTATACATTATATTTAGCTACTTAAAAGGAATTTAATAGTTGGTTTAGTAAGGAAAATAAAATATTGAGGAACTCTATTAATAATCTTGTTATTTAAAAGCTAAATATTATTTGGGATTTTACATGTTCTTAGCTACCAAAAATAAACATTTCCAAGTTCACAAAGAAAACTTTCAAATCAATTATTCGTACTCTATTCAACTATTACACAACAGCAATTTACCAATTGATAAGATTTAATCATTCCGAATCTTTGGCCTTCAGTTCCATCAACAAACAGGCAGGACCTGGCATGAAAAACAAACCCACATTGTTTACATTTTACAAAATCTCTATTTTAATAACATGTATACAGTTTCAAAAATACAGAGCATTCATGCCCATGTATGCTAGGGGAAAAGGAAATCTGCCTTTAATGCATGCACTCGCAAAATGCTAAGTATAAATGCATATAAGAACGGGACGGTGTCTGTTTCAAGCATCCACAAGCAATGCCTCAAATAACTTCACCAGAACAGCATAAGCTTGCAAAGTTTAAGATGATTATTTCTCTTGAGGACTGAAACTGCAGTAGAACCTAATCTTGGGTTTTTTTGTTTTCCCTGAAGCTTGTTTTCCTTTAGAGTACTCCAGAAAATGGGAATGAGACATTATTCTCACAACCACCAAAGTCACTCAAGTCATTAGTGAAATCTACAAAACAGAATAAGAAGTGGTAGAAACGCAAAAAAAAAAAAAAAAAAATTACTGCATTCACAGTTCTGAGAACACGAGTGAAAAGCAGCCTGGACGTCTCCTGTTATTCACAGCCCCTGCGGCCCTAGCTGGGCATCTGGAAGGGCTCGGGCTGGAAGCCAAAGAGCCGCGGGCCGCAGGGCTCGCTCTCGGCTGGCAGCTTGACGCCTGCGAAGGGCAGGTAGGGGTCGCGGCCGAAGTGCTCGCAGGGCAGGCCGACCCAGTCCCGCTCCGAGCCGAAGCGCTCGGCCTCGGCCAGGATGCGGGTCAGGGCCATGATGTAGCTCAGGGCCATCTGCAGCGTCTCATACTTGGACAGCTTTTTATCCTGGCCCCACTGGGGCACCACCCTGCGGAGGCGGTCGAAGGCCGTGTTGAGCCCCTGCATGCGACGACGCTCGCGCGCGTTGGCCGCCAGGCGCCTGCGCGCAGCACTCTCCATTCGGCCGGCCCCGGCGCACGCGCCTGCGCACTGGGCACCGGCTGCGCACGGGGCCGCAGCGCGCGCTCCAGCGGGTCCGCAAGGCTTGCAGGACTTCATGCCGGGCCTGGAGCCGCGAGGGGCGGGGTTCTCAGCGTGCGGTCGCGAGCCCAGCGACTCACGTGCGATCGGTCTATAGAGGGGAGTGCGGGGTTGGCCTGCTTTCCCGCCGGGTGACCGGGCTGATGTCGCTTCCTTTGCCAAAATGAAGGGACCTGGAGGTGATCAGGAAACAGTCATTTTCCCAGCGTGAAGCTGTAAAGGCAGAAGGAAGCCTTCTGGCGGCCGCAGAGTTCGCTGTGGCTGGGTCGCGGGCCTGCGCGGTCCTCTGGGAAAGCCCGAACCCGCCTGCCGGGAAGACGAAATCTTTTCCGCTGCTCGGCTTGGGAAAGAGCGCAGGGGCTGCCCGAGAGCAGAGCGCGGTCTGCATCTTGGATGGAGGAGAATTTAAAGCCGCGGGCCAAGGAGGGAACAGGTGGTGGCAGGTGGGCGGGCGTCCCTCGGCTTCCCGCTCGGCACCTTCCCGCCCTGGGAACCCAGGGGGAGGGGCGGCGCGCCGCGAAGCCCGATGTTACCGCCCGGTCCGGGGGAGGCCGCGGCCCCGTCCCCCGCTAACCGCGCGCCATCTGGAGGGTCCGGCTGTCCCCGAGGAGCGGCCGGGCGGGGGCGGGGGGAGCCTGGTCACTCCTTCCCCAGATCAGCGGGCTGCTTACGTAGCAGAAACTTAACTGAGGCTTTACCTTCGCTGGAAATGATTTGGGTGAAGATGTTGATTTGGGCATTATCAGTAGCTTTGTTGAGAAGCGTGACAATTTTGTATAACGGTGATTTAATAATTGAGATTTTTATTTTCTCTATAAAGTAAATTGGTTCTGGTATTGCAGTTCTAGTATTGCAGACCTGGAACTTTACTGTGCAAATAATTTGTTTTCTGTGAAATAATTTATAATACATCAAAAGATATGAATGTGAATTTAAAACTACTTCGGCTATGTATTTGGATTGCGCGAGTTCAGATGCCTAGGCACATTAATTCGGTATGGTCTATACTTCATATCCCCATTCATAAGGTGTTTCTGGGTTACACGGAGATGACAAACTGATCACCGATTTTATATTTAAATTTAATAAAACTAATTGCACAAAATGGAAACATCTGAGTAATTCATGAAACTTTAACAAATAATTCCTAATGAAGTATTTTTGCTCCTCTTATGAAAGTGTGAAACTATTTCATACAACTTCGGTGTTTCAGTTGGGTCACCTGCCCTCAGGACAGTAACCAAGTATGATTTTCACTATTGAGAACAAATGTATGCTTTATCTGGAGAAATCATTATCTTCATTCATTTCATTTCTTGCTCTGAAGAGAAATCAAGAGCAAAAAAATCAAGCCCCAAATAGGTTCAATCGAGATGCATTTGAGAGCATTTCAGGAAGTCCAATTAACTCTTTCTTCTTTGAAATATAGATATGTCAGCATTACAGTATTCTCCGATATTTTAATTAAATTATCAACAAGCCCTCAAAAATCAAGAGTCTCTTAACAGTGACTTGTTTCCCCTGCCGTTGCCCCAGACTGTAACCCTATTGTGACTGCCCTGACTCTGAGTCCTGTCTTCCCATAAATAGTTGATTAATCCCCAGCTGAAGCAATGACAATGAAATGAAGCTGAATAACACAAAGACAATAGGATGCAATTGAACATTAATGATCTTCGGCATGACAGATGTTGAACACAGGCTTTTGTAAGGAGCCACTCAGTTCTGTTACTCTTGAGTCCTAACAGCCTTGGTTGGGAACAGCAGTCCTGTGATGGGAAAGACATTTAGTCATCAAAATGCTAATTTGGGGGTGGTCGAGGAAATCTGCAGAGTGAATGCAACTGTTTCTCCTGTTCATTTATCTATCTCATCCCAGTCCCCTGAAGAATTCCCTCTGTGCTTCTTCGCAGAAATGTTTCCCTGCAAAGCAGCCTGTGGGCTCCAGCTGATCACTGGTGTCTAGTGTCAGTGGGATATATACTTTTGCAAGCCTCACAGGGTGAGGTTATAACCCATGCACACAGCTGTGTTAAAATACAAACCAGGAGACACCCATGACATGAAATTGACCCAAGGACAAGGAGGATGCAGAGTAAGAGGTTGCACAGAGGTGGTATGACATAAGTGCTACAGAGATGCATCTGGGGGAAGAGGTGTCCAGCGTCAGGTAAGTTTGAGACGCACAGGTGCTACCTCCCACTTGGAGAGTTGAGAAGCAAAAACCACACAGGAAAGTTTCTGAAAAGTCCTAGAGTCAAGAAACCTATTGACTTCACCATTTCCGTTTGATCACGGAAGTCTTTTTTTTTTTTCTTCCTCTTACGAAGATTTATTAACATTCCTTAGTTACTTATTTTGTTTTGCCTTTTTTTTTTTTTTTTGAAACAGGGTCTCTCTACAGCCTAGGCTGATCTTGAACTTAACAGTGATCTTTCTGCCTCAGCCTCCCAGGTGCTAGAATTACAGGCATGCACCACTACTCCCTTGGATACTTTCAAACCTATTCTAGCCAGGCATGATGGCCCAGGGCTGTAAAACCAGCACTTGGGAGGCCAAGGCAGGAGGATCACTATGAATTGAAGGCCAGCCTGGGATATGAAGTGAGTTCAAACCTAGCCTGAACTGCATAATGAAACACTGTTTCACAAAGTCTAAAAATAAAAACAAAACTATTTTAGCACCTTCCATTTATTTGATAAGGAGAGGACAGATACAAAGCCTGACATTGTGCTTGAAGGCAGAACCAATGTAATGACCAGACTAAAACAAGAAGTTAGATCTGCATCCTCTGATTTAAAAGCCTTTTAAATTATGTTAGCTAAGCCCCTCATTTTACAAGGTAGTGTCCCGAAGTCAGGCAGGCTACTAATGAAAGTTTCAGGAATATAATTAGAAACATAACACTTAGAAGACAGTGTCATAATACAACTCTAGAGTCTGGCACAGTGCCTAAAAATAATAATTACTCAATAAATAACCCAGAAAGAATGACTGCAACAATAGAAGTTGATCCAGATGAGTTTAATGAATAACCCACACTAATGAGTTGCATCCTCCCACCAATAGAGAACATAAGCTAGCTCCACACTCCAAACACAGCATGGGTTCTATGTTGTCCAAAGACTCCATAACTATTTGGGACACAGGAACATAAATGTCAGGCTAATTTCCATATTGAAGTTATGATCCCAACAGTTGAACTGGCAGTGACTGTTGTTAAGGTTTGTAGGAGGCTCCTGTACTGGGCCCAACAGACTGATCCAATATGGAGTTACTCTTGCTAGTTGATTGATTAACTTAAGAGCATATTCACATAGCAGATGGCCAACTGTCAGTTATCTATAGCTGCTGAGCATTAGCTGGTCTTAGGCAGAAAACTGATTCAAACAAGGCAAGTCCTGAATGAACTGTCTTGTGCCTCACTTCTGTTTTCTGTCTGTAAATACTGCTTGATCTTAATACTGGCCAAAGTTCTTTGAACCTGTTATGGTTTGGGAGGCTACCTGATTCTGGAATTATGAATAAAAGCAAGTTAAGATCTTTAAATGGTTGCAGTTTTTGTCTTTTGACAGTAATATGTTGTGACCGGCCAGAAATCAAAACTGGCCGGTGAAGACACAGAGATGACAGAGGATAGGACAGAGAGGAGTAAAGAAACAGGAGATACGCTACCTTAGAGGTTAAAATGATCGTCGGCTGGGGTTTGTTACAAGTGTGGAATAGGTTCCAGAGTAAACATTCTTTATTACAGTATTCAAAACCATATGTGGGGGACTGACAACTGGTGCTCAACTTGTAACACCAGCTGAACTGAATCACCATGGTGCTGGGTGTGAAGGGCCCACCTGAGGATTTCGCCAGCAACATGAAAAGGAGAACTGGAGAGGAAAAAAGTGTTGTTGGTTCATCTGTTGCTGTTGGTTCTCCTGAAGGAGCTAGTTGAGCTTCTTTCCTGATATGAACCTGGCTTCCATCATCAGAGGAGCTTGGGACCTTGTTGCTGGCAGTGGCTGTGGTTCACTTTAGGGGAGGTCTGGTCCTTACTTTGAGCATCGATTCCTGCTTCTGGAGGGAAAGATGGTGTACTATTCAATCTCCTGGGGAAGCTTGTCACATTGGCTTCCTGATAGGAACTTGGCTGTTCTGATGTCAGAGGAGCTTGGGACTTCCTTGTCACAAAGACAACTGTGGTACTTTTCAGGGGAGCTCTGGTCCTTACTTGAGTGCTGCTTCTGGCCCCAGTGCAGATCCCTCTGCCTGCCGGCACAGATCCTTCATCCCACTGGTGCAGACTTTCTAGCTTCCACAACTGACCTGTGGGGCTTCCCACACAGATCTGTGAAACAGACTTACACAAGACATTGTCATGGTATACTCTTGTTTTTCTTGATTGTATAAATCTTTTCGATTTATCAAAGACATTGTCATTACGACTCTGAGCGGTGGGAAAAAAAAAAAACAAAGATATTGTCATGTGCTCTAGATCTTTAGCTGAACACATGTAAGACATTGCCTTGGGATTCAGGCCCTCAGTTGTATTCTTTGGGTCTTTAGTGCGTGGACAGATTGCCTGCATTTTTTTGTATTCGACTCTTCAGGTGACTATTGTAACATAATTCTATAAATTATGTGTCCAGGGGCTGGGAATTTAGCTTAGTGGCCTAAGCGCCTGCCGGGCAAGCCTAACATCGTAAATTCAATCCCTGGTGCCACAAAAGAAAAAAAAAGAAAAGAAATTTTAAATTATGTATCCTGTATTAAATTGTCATCTTGGTGGGAGAGATAGCTCAGTGTGGCACAGCACCTGCCTGGCAAGCATGAGGTTAAGTCTGATCCCTAGTACCAAAATAAATAAATTGTTTTTCTTGCAAACCCTGACTACAACACCATATTTCACCAGGGTGTGGTGGCACACACTTGGAATCTCAACTACTCAGAAGGCGAGGCACAGGAAGATTGCCAACCTTGGCAATTTAGCAAGAACTTATCTCAAAAAGTATTGGGGCTATAGCTCAGTGCTTACCTAGCATGTACTGAGGCCCTGCGTTCAATGTAGAAAGAAGAGACAAAGTACTTATTTTTGTGTGTGTGTGTGTGTTTTGTTTGTTTGTTTGTTTGTTTTTCCTGGTACCAGGGACCAAACCATGGGCTTGTGAAGCAGGCGATTATGGCGCTGAGCTAAATCCCCAGCCCCTATTACTTTATTTTTTAAATGGACGCTCCCATCACCATTTTCACAAAAATAAATGGATAGGTAAATAAATAATTTAAAACCTACACAACTAAAAGAGAGACAAAAATGTTCATTCTAAAATTTTCAGAGAAAAACATGGAAAATACAGTCTGGTGAAGAAGTTAGGAAGCTCTGGATCCCCAAAAGACATGCAAGCAGCAAAAAAGATTTGGTAAAGTTTAGTTCCACTGGGGCCATATTAATTCCCACAAATGGAAGGTGTTAAGAATTTTAAAATGTGCTACACATGTACTCAGAAGAGGGGATGCCAAAAGGATTAAAATGTCCAGAGAAAGATTGGAGAAGCCAAGTCTTCTATCTCTGCTCCCCACTGCTCAAAGGCCTAGGGAGGAGAAAATCCAGTGCAGAGCAGAAACTACAAAGAGAAGACTAATCCTGGGGTTGGGAAAAAAATGGCAACAACGTGGGAGCCTGGCCCAGGCCTCAGAGGTGAGGGATTATCGGTAAGCACAGGGAATCTGAAGGGCCCCAGGGATTCTCCAACCCTCAGAGAGGTCACACCCAGCTTGCCAGCTGTGGTT